CTCATACTCCCCCCCCCCCCCCCCCCCCCCCACGGTTGGTTGTTCACCATTTGGGAGGCCTTTTTATAATCAGTAAATACACATTATACCACTTCCTACATATCAGGTTGCCACCCTCTATTATTTATCACCCCTCACCTTGCAGAGATGGGCCTAAATCTGGATTAGAACTTGACCACAGTTCAGGGTTGTTTGGATCAGTAGTTTTTGGAAGTGTGTGGCTGCAGAATCTATGCCCAAACATCCACACAGTTCATGGGTGTTGGGCCTATGCCTTCTACCGATGTTTGTCGTCATCTCTTTGCTTCTTAGGGTCTCTCTCCCTGCTTCGGTCTCTTTCCTTATCTTTTCTCTCTCTGTCCTTTCTTTCTCTTCCTCTGCTCCTTTCATCTTTGGAATCTCGCTCTCTCTCCCGATCACTTTCACCCCAAGCCCATGATTGTTCTCTTTCCAGCCATCTCTTGTCTCGATTCCTTTCAGGATCTCGGTCCCTCACTCTCCAGTCCTTCACTCCCTCACGAGACCAGCTCCTCTCTCTTTTCTCCATTGGCCCCTCTCCATAGAAGTCACTTTTCATCGTTGGCAAATTGATGGGCTTTCGGAAAGGCCTGTCCCGCCCTCCAAACCGCAGCTGCCCAGATTCCTTCTTGCCACCAAAACCACCTCCAAGCCTCCGAGGGATCCATCCTTTGAGGGTCCTTTCCAGCTCAAAGTCCACAAATATCTCATGCTGGTCAATAACCAGTCTGTTGGCATCCCTATGGGCTTTCAACAGTGCCCGTTCTTCTTTGTACTCTATAAATGCATAGCCCTTGGAAAAGCCTGTGACCAAGTCTCTAACCAGACGAGTCTTCCTTATGTCTCCATATCTGGAAAAGGCTTCCTGCAACTTCTCTTCAGTGGTTTGTAGATTCAATCTTGCTACAAAGAGAGTGAGGTGGGGATCTCCTGTAACCCCCTTATTGGGTACATACCGTGCCAACATGGCTCTCCAGATGGCACGGTCATGAGGCTCTTCATCTGTGCCATCAATGCTCCCTGCTTTGAGGGGGTCATACTCCTTTGCTATGGGCGCCCACTCGTTCATTTTCTGAAGGGAACACAAGCATCAATCACACTAGTTAACACTGTACAAATGTTCCCCACTACAGGTGCATTGGAAGATGCAGTTAATGGTGATACTTGGCATTTGCCTATAGCATCTTCCATGCCAGGATATTAAAGCATTTTACAGACATGAATGAGCTGATAACACTCCACCACAGGCTCATCCCCATCTTATAGATGGGAAAATCAGGACACTCCTCTTCCACAGGCCCCAAGAGGCACAGAAAACCCTAGTCACCCTGTCTCCTAATAAGCCACACTGAGCTCCGCAGAAATGACAAAAAATCCCTTACAAAAATAATTA